TTTTTTTTTTTTTTTTTTTTTTTGTCTTCTTTACTATTTTTTTTTTTTCAATTAAGAATAATGGTAGTATAATTTTTTTATTAACAAAATTAGAATTTTAACAACTAATTAAATGGATTGTGTCAACAAGAGACTAAGGTGCTACTAAAATGACAAGTTGAGATGTCAAATATAAAAAATAAAAATAAAAGGGAAGATTGAGGAACCGTTCTTAATTTTTATTTTTATTGTTATTATTATTATTATTATTATTTTGGTCATGGGGCCATGTGCTGGTACCGACTTTCCTTTAGTAATAAAAAATAAATTAATTTTTAGCTAGTATTTATTAATATTTTTTTAATATACGATTAAAATGAAAATCTTTGCTAGCTGTGTTAGATAAATGATTAGTGGAATTGCCAATTTATGCTCTCTCTCTCTCACAAATATTAAGTCGAATGAAATTGTTAGATGCTCCCCACTAAGCACATTGGCTAGTCGAATGATTTTTGATAAGTAGATGTACAATATTGGATCAGAATCAGGAGGCTAGATAAAAACAAGGATAATGATGATAATCATCTCACTACAATACGATTACGACTACGTCAAGAGTTTTTACTTATACCCTGTTTGGTATACATAAAAATTTTCTTTTTCATTATTCTACTCATTTTCAACCACACATTTTTCAATAAAATAATATTTTTCATCACATCAATAACTTTTTTTTTCAACCACAAATTTTCCATCAATCTACTATTTCAGAATAAAATCTTCTAAAATTATGTGGATCAAACACACCCTTAATGAAATTTCAATAATACTACTAAAAATTATAAATATTAGTGTGTGTATATATATATGATTGAAGTATAGATTTTAATCCCTATAAAATATGGGCTTAATAGTTTATAGTTCTTGTTTGAAGGAAATTAAAATTAAGTTTTCAGTAAATTTTAATAAAAGTTGATAAAATAAATAATTAAAAAGTTATGAATTAACCAAATATATAATTGAAATTAATTATTAATAAATTAAAATCTTTTTAATTTTATATCCAGCGAAGAGGGGCATAATCTAATTCCAAACTCGGGCAGCATACGAATGAAAATGCTAGATGTTAGAGGGAAAATTATTTATTTATTAAAATTATTCAATTATGTATTGTCGCGTAGAAAAAAAAGAAAGATGAATGATGACGAAATCTTGATTGTAAGAAGAGTACAAATTTTGTTAGAATTTTGAAAAGTAAAGTAACATAAACCAACACGTGGGGTCAATGAAGAGATAAGTCAAAATTGCCGGCTAGGGGAAGTTTCCGTGCTACATTGACTTCTCTTCCATTTCACATTACGAAAGCGACAGCGACAGAAATTGGAACATTCATCTGAACCCATCCCTCCTCAGCCTAATGTGACAAAATTGAAAAGGGTTGTTGAGAGATTGATCAAAATTTCCGTCATTAAATATTTTTATTTATTTATTTTTTTGTGTGAAAATAAAATTTGAATTTTCTAGCCAAATCAGATTAGGAGTATCTTTTCTTAGCTCTTGTTTGTTAGGAATTAAAATTAATTTTTGATAAATTTAAATAGAAATTGATGAAATATGTGATTAAAAATTATGAATTTCATAAAATGTATTGTTAAAATTAGTTGTTTACTTCCAGTATTATCACTTCGTTATGTCCTGTTACCAAAATTCAATGACAATTTACTGAAATATAATTATCGTAGAATTCTATATTTATTAAAACAAACATAAAGAAAAAGCCTACAATGATTGATTGGTCTATGAAAGGTACAGTGTATGTGGTTGCGGACAATCTGATAAAATTGCGCTCTCTTTGGTCTTTTTGAAACAAAACATTTCTTCCTTTCAGTCAAACCAATTCTCCGCTATGTCGCCGACGACCATTTTCCGGAGAAATTTTCACTTCCTCTCCCTCTTTTATGTCCTCTCTTTTGCCGCCTCCGATGAGCTTCAGACCCTTTTAACCATAAAATCTGCCTTCAAAGAGTCGAGGACAAAAGTATTTGATTCATGGGATTCCAGTAATTCTATATGCAGCTTTGCAGGACTCACCTGTGATTCCAATGGTTTTGTTAAAGAAATTGAACTCTCCAATCAGAATTTGACTGGTTCAATTCCTTTTGATTCTATATGCAAGCTCCCGTCATTGGAAAAGCTCTCGCTCGGGTTCAACTCACTCTACGGCCGAGTCACCGAGGAGTTGAGCAATTGTACTGAGCTTAAATATTTAGACTTGGGCAACAATTTTTTCTCAGGACCATTCCCAGAAATTTCATCAATTAGTGGATTGGTGTATTTATACGCAAATGCAAGTGGGTTTTCAGGAATTTTCCCGTGGAATTCTCTTGAAAATTTGACAAATCTTGCTGTATTAAGCCTCGGTGACAACCCGTTTGATCGAACGGAATTTCCAGCCGTGATTGTGAAGCTTACGAAGCTGAATTGGCTGTATTTATCGAATTGCAGCATCGAAGGAAAAATCCCAGAAGGGATTGGGAATCTTGTTGAGCTGATTAATTTGGAGTTGTCTATGAATTACATCACCGGGGAGATTCCGGCGGGGATTACAAACCTTTCGAAACTGTGGCAGCTTGAGCTTTACCAAAATGAATTGAGCGGGAAATTGCCTGTTGGTTTTGGCAAGTTAACGAGTCTTGAATATTTTGATGCTTCAACTAATTATTTGTATGGTGATCTTTCTGAAATCAGATCCTTGAATCAGCTGGTGACTCTGCAGCTGTTTGAAAACGAGTTTACTGGTGAACTGCCAGCTGAGCTTGGCGAGTTCAATAAGCTTGTGAACTTGTCTCTTTATACTAATAAGCTCACTGGTCAGCTGCCGGAGAAGCTCGGCTCGTGGGCCGAATTCGATTTCATAGATGTCTCCGAAAACTATTTCACCGGTCAGATACCGCCGGAAATGTGTAAGAGAGGGACCATGACTCAACTCTTGATGCTGCAGAACAATTTCACAGGCCGAATTCCAGATACATACGCTAATTGCGCGACGCTAACACGTTTTCGTGTTAGTAAGAACTCGCTTTCTGGTCCGGTTCCTGGTGGCATATGGGGGCTGCCTAATGTCGAAATCATTGATATTGCATTTAATAACTTGGAGGGGCCTATAACGACTGATGTTGGAAGGGCCAAGTCCCTGAAACAATTGTCTCTCGCTAATAATAGACTCTCCGGTGAATTACCATCGGAGATTTCTAAGGCTGCAGGTTTGGTTTCTATTGATTTGAGTGACAATCAGTTCTCCGGTGAAGTACCGGCGACAATTGGTGAACTAAAGCATCTGAACAGTCTTGAATTGCATAGCAATGACTTTTCTGGTCCAATACCAGATTCGTTAGGCTCATGTGATTCCATCACTAATATCAACATGGCTCACAATTCACTTACCGGCCACATTCCGGCCGATCTCGGGTCATTACCAACTCTCAATTTCTTGAATTTGTCGAGAAATCAAATCACCGGACTGATCCCAGGGAGCTTAGCCTCTCTGAGACTTAGTCTTCTTGACATTTCGAACAATCATTTGTGGGGTCCTATACCGGAGTCTCTATTGATTCAGGCCTATAACGGTAGCTTTGATGGAAATCAAGACTTGTGTAGTGAGAAAATCGGGCATTTTCAACGATGTTCGCAAAAATCCGGCATGCACAGGCATCTTCCAGCACTCATATTCTGCTTCGTGGCTGCATTCACCGTGTTGCTCGTCTCACTAGTGTACTTATGTTACATAAAAAAGAAGACCAAAAAACGTACTTTGAAGGAAGAATCATGGGATGTTAAGTCATACCATGTTTTGAGCATTACAGAAGATGAGGTTCTTGATTCCATCAAGCAAGAGAATTTAATAGGAAAAGGGGGTTGTGGGGATGTGTATAGAGTTGTTCTTGCAAACGGTACAGTACTGGCCGTGAAACATATCTGGCATTCCGAATCAGTTGACCGGAAAAGGATCGGTAGCACAACTCCTATACTGCCGGGTCTTGGTAAGAAGAGGTTGCACGAATTTGAGGCCGAGGTTAGGACATTGAGCTCAATAAGACACGTTAATGTAGTTAAGTTGTATTGTAGCATAACAAGTGAGGACTCAAGCTTGTTGGTTTATGAATATTTGCCTAATGGAAGTCTATGGGATAGACTGCATACATCCAAGAAACTGGCACTCGACTGGGATGCGCGGTACGAGATTGCTTTAGGTGCAGCGAAAGGGTTGGAGTATTTGCATCATGGTTGTGATAGGCCAATCATTCATCGCGATATCAAGTCTAGTAACATTCTGTTGGATGAGTCTTTAAAGCCTCGAATTGCAGATTTTGGACTCGCAAAAATAAATCAATTCAATTCGACTGAATCGACCCAAATAATTGCAGGAACACGTGGATATATAGCTCCAGGTAAGCAAATAGTTCCCACTAATCATAATTTCTCCTTTGGTTCTTATATATGGTTAAAAACAGTATATATATGGTTAAAAACAGTAGAGTTAGCTATTCTCTAAACTAAAACGTTTGTTACAATTTGATTGTTTTGCCCATATCTGTTAGTTTGAATAACAGAAAACCTGACATGGCATCCTAGATGGCAAACTAGACTGCCACGTCACTTTTTTTTCGTTTGTCAAACTAACGATGTAATCGTATGAAAGTTTTAGACGAGTTCAGTGATTGTCTCTTCGATTTAATCACTGAAATTGTTCTTTATGTTTTGCAGAGTATGGTTATACACACAAAGTGAACGAAAAGAGTGATTTATACAGTTTCGGAGTCGTACTGATGGAGCTGGTAACAGGAAAGAGGCCAATAGAGGCGGAGTATGGGGAGAACAAGGATATAGTAGATTGGGTATGCAGCAGGCTTAAGACTAAAGAAAGTGTGTTGAGCATTGTGGATTCAACTATCCCAGAAGTTTACAAGGAAGATGCAATAAAAGTTTTAAAAATTGGGATGATGTGCACAGCCAGGGTACCAGCATTAAGGCCTACTATGAGAAGTGTGGTTCAAATGCTCGAAGAAGCCGAGCCTTGTAAATTGGTAGGCATTATTGTTAACAAAAATGGTGTCACCAAGAATGAGGAACCCATGGAAAAGCGATTTTAACCAAGGGCTTTTCTTTTCTTGTATGATTTATGATGTTCGAGAATCGGAACTTAGTCATTTCTGGTCACTCTAAGGTCGCCTTCAACATCCAGGGATCGGGGACAGGCAATAGAACCAGCATTAGCTGTGAAAATGGTCACCCATGAAGTAATACATGTAAAACTATGTAAATTTTGAAGATTGTCTATGTAACATATTAGCCAGCCAATTGTAGGCTTGTAGCATTTGATGTTGTATGGAATAGAAGGCATGTCGGGTGCCAAATAAAAGCACAATTTTGTTCACTTAGTATGATTGATGGGTTGTTAAAAATGAACAAACTGTTTATAAAATGAATTATATGAAAAATAATGATGTTAAGATAGGCATATTCTCGTAGTAGGATTGATAAGTTAAGAGAAATTGAGTAATCGTAAACAAATTGAAGCGACACAAATTGAAGCATAGATCAAGGAATCGATCATATGGGTGAGTGAGACCCCTCTTTCGTTTTCTTTTTTCAGGGAATTGGAAGAGCCCTCAATGAAAATGGATAATGTAATGTCTGTGCTATTTGTACACTCCTTTCACTAGTTCTGGGGAAATTATCTGTGCTGAATTTCTAGCCAAAGATTCTGTTGGCAGTTCCGATAATCTTGGCTCACAGTTTATGACATTATAACTTTTAGATGTAGCTTAGTAGATTTTCCATGTAAATCTCATTTTCTGTTATACTTTGCTTGAATAAATACTCCTATCAATGCAAAGGCTTTGGTGTCTTGCCAAGCCAAATGTTTCTCTCATTTTAAAAATCTTTCATGGTATCAGAGCCAAAAACACACGCTTGATTTTGAAACACATGCTTCCGCACCTTTTCTAACCTTTCCTTATTCAGCAAATCTACCAATGAGGAAAGTGTCTTCACTCCGCTATCACCGGCTGACTTGAACAAGCAAGAAATTCTCTCATCTTGGGACTTCTCCATTCAGCATCCAACAAAATCGCAGCTAATGATGCTCCGAATCCTACCTATGTTGTTTGGAATCAGAAGGAACAACATTTGCTTGGCTGTATTCTGTCTTCCCGCACTGAAAAAGTTATGTCTACAATTCATTGTCTCGACACATCTCATCAGGCATGGACTTCCCTTGCCAATCGCTATTCTTCACAGTTGAGGTCTCGAATTGCTTATCTCATGCATCAGCTGCAGTCTTTAAGTCAAGGCTCAAATAATTGTACTGATTATCTTGACATTGCGAAAACATTGGCTGGTCAATTAGCAGCTGCTGGTAAGGCCGTTGGTGACCAAAGTTAAAAGTTGATGAAATAGCAGAGAGCACTTAAGTAATTGGGAAGATTGTTTTCATTCAATTGAATTAATTTACAGTGGACAAGATACAATATATATATATACACTTTGGAGTGGTGAGCAAGTAAAATGAATACACTATACACGTGAGAATCAATTCAGTTATAACTACTCAATTGTGTCCCAAAGGTGCACAATATCGACTCGTAGCTTCCATGTGTACACAGCCAGTTCACATGCAGATTCTAGATGATATAATAGGTGTATACTTCAACATCCTCCCTCAAGCTAGAGTCTAATCTTTTACTCCAAGCTTGTCCTTGAGAAATAAAAATCTGGTTTGTGCAAGGGGCTTAGTTAACAAATCTGCAATTTGGTTTGATGATGGAACATATTATATTTTCAGCTTCCTTTTGAGAACTTTATCCCTGACAAAGTGAATATCTAACTCAACGTGTTTTGTTCGTGCATGGTAAACTAGATTTGAGGCTAAGGCACTGGCACTAAGATTGTCATACCATAGTGTAGGAGGTGAAACAGAATGCAACTTAATTTCCTTGAGCAACGATTCAATCCAAGTTATCTCTGCAGTTGCTTGAGCTAGAGCTCTGTACTCTGATTCAGTACTAGATCTTGCCACAACTTGTTGTTTCTTTGAAGACTAGGCCACAAATATATCTTCCAAATAGACACAATACCCTGCTGTTGATCTCCTGCCATCATGCATAATGCCCAGTCAGCATCAGCAAAACCAGTAATATCCATTCTATCACTTCTTTGAATCTACAAGCCTTGTTCAATTGTCCCTTTCAGGTATCTGAAGATCCTTTTTGCTGCCTTCCAATGTGAGTGTGAAGGTGCCTGAAGAAATTGACTAATCTTATTCACGGCAAAGGTTATATCAGGTCGTGTGTTTGTGCTAAGTATTGCAAACCACCTATTGCACTTCTGTATAAGGAGAGATCTGCGATCTTTTCTCCTTCATTTTTGGAGATACATTTGCCTACTATTATAGGTGTTGCACAAGGTTTAAGATCCTAAAAATTGGATCTTTTTAGTAAGTCCTTTGTGTACTTGATCTAAGTGAGGTGCATACCTAATTTATGCCTTCTTACTTCCATTCCCAGAAACTGATGTAGTTCACCCATGTCTTTTAGTGCAAATTGAATGTTCAAGTTATCAACAAAACTATGTAACATTTTATGATCTTTGCCGATTATTACTATCTCATCGGGCAAAGCTCACTTACCTTTGATTCATGTAGAAAAATAAAGAACTGTCTGCCTTGGATATTGTAAACTTCGATTCAAGTAAAGTCTTCTTCAATTTTTCGTACCATGCTCTAGGGGTTTGTTTGAGTCCATATGGAACATTTTCAAGTTTGTACACAAAGGTAGGACACCTTATCAACAAAACCTTCTGAATGGCTCATATAAACTTTCTCATCTAGTTTTCCATTCAAGAAAACATTATTTATGACAATTTGTCTGATACTCCAGCCCTTTAAGACTAATAGTGCTAGAATTATCCTCAGAGTAGATGCTTCTATAACTGGACTGAACGTTTCATGATAATCAATACATGATGTCTGCAAGAATCCTTTTGCAACAAGTTTGGCTTTGTACTTCATTATCTTACCTTCAATGTTGCGTTTAACTCTGAAAACCCACTTGTTTCCCATCACCTTTTAACTAACTAATGGTGGTACTAGTTTTCAAGTTTTGTTCCTCTTCAATGTTGTGTATTCATCTTCCATTACTCCTCTCCAATCTTTCTTTGATAGAGCCTCAGGTACACTATTTGGCTCATGTTCTCTATGTTCTAATCTATATTCTTTGCACTAAGTTGAGTAAGTTTTTAATTTGAAGATACCAGTTTTATTTCTGGTAATCATGGGGTGCTCCATAGTCTGCCTTTCTTGTTTTGCCACAATTTGATTCAACTCATCATTTACTTCAGCTAGCTCTATCTGGACATTTTCAATTCCTTCTTAACTTTCCACTTGAGTATGTTCATTATTTACCACTTTTTTCTCATTCTCATTTTCCTCAGATGCCACATTTCCAGCCACTTCAATATGTTCAGAACTATGAGATGTTGTTGGAGTTGCATCAGGATGAATTGCATCAGTTGAGCATGTTGGATCATAGCTTAAATGATTGTGAAGTGGTAGGTATTGAATAATGGTGTCAGACCTTTGTGAGTTGTTTTTTTAATTGTGAAAGTCAGATTAGAATGAGAATTCATTTTCATTGAAAATTATATGTCTAGATATATAGATCCTACCTGTTGGACTGACCCTTATGTGAGTTATTGAAACTAAAGAATACACATTTTGTAGAGTGAAAGCTAAACTTATGTTGTTGGTATGGTCTGAGGCAAGGAAAACATGTACAACCAAAGACTTTCAGAGACTTGTAGTGAACTTGCTCATTGTTTAACACTTGACAGGGTGATTTCATCTTGAGAACTCGAGTAGGTAGGTTATTGATGAGATGAGTGGCTGTGTGAAAAGACTCTCACCAGTAATGCAGGGACATGCTGGCTTTAGCAAGGTGAGTTAATCTAGTTTCTATTATATGTCTGTGTTTCCTTTCTGTTCTACAATTTTAAGTTGAAGTATGAGGACAGGAGAGACGCATATCAAACTTGTTTTCAGCTAAGTTCTTGAATTGAGTGAATAGGTTTAAGGCTTCTGATTTTTTTCTCATGGGATAGATACAAGTGTATCTACTATAGTCATCAATGAAGAGAATATAGTATCTAAAACCAGAGGTTGAACATATGGCTGCAGGACCCCAAACGTCTGTATGAATCAACTCAAGAAGGCTAAAGCATGAGAGGTAGATATTTTAAATGGTAGAGAATGTGATTTACCAAGCTAGCAAGCATCACAAAACTAATTTACTTCGTTGACTTCAATTTTTTCATTACAAGATTTGAATACTTGTGACATCACAAAATCTATAGGATGTACAAGTCTCATATGCCAAAATTTAAGTCTAGACTCATACTTTTTGGACTGAACAACAAATGTTGAGGAGTATAATTGATTTGGATAGACTGACTCTTGATGTCTGGACACTTTGGACTGAACAACAAATGTTGAGGAATTCAATTTATTTGGATAGACTGAATCTTGATAGGAGAACTTTTTGACTTGATCTAGATACGCAATATGATACAATCCATCCTTAAGATTTCCTTCCAGCTACACCTCTTTCATTTGTTTGTCCATGACACAAAAATTAGAATGGAATCCCATAAATACACCATTATTGGATATTAGTTGTGAGACACTTATCAGATTTTTTTTTTTAATTGATGGTACCAATAACACATTACTGATAACCAATGTCTTATCATTCAGTGTGCTCAAGTGGTTGGTGCCAATATGAGAAACATCAAGTTTGTTTCCATTACCAACAGTGAGTCTTTCCTTACCACCATACTCATGTGCCTCAATCAGGTTTCCTTTCTCAGAAGTGACATGAATACTTGCTCCTGAATCTGCAAACCAAGCTGGATCTGCAACAGTGCTTGATGAAACTACGAGAGCATATGGTCCTGGTGAATTATTTTGATAGTGCTAATCAGGTATTGCACATGTACCTCTCATCATAACGGTTGTCACACTTTTCTGCTGAATAATTGTTTATTCAACAGATTTGACAAGGTCCTTTACTATTAGTTTGTCTGCCATCTTTGCCTTTTCTTCTTCCTCTTCTGATATTATTGCTTCTTCCACCATAGTTGTCTCCTCTATTTATGTTTGATATGTGCAAGAAGTTTGCTGAGGTTTGACTCAAGTTAATTGAGGCTAAGCTATTTTTCACAGCATTAAGATGCTCAATCCTACTTTCATAAGTCATCAACATAGATTGCAATTCATACCAAGCGATGGAATCTCTACTATTAATTTAAACTACAATAGGGGTGTATTCTTCATCCAGTCCAGCTAGTACTTGCGTAATAAGATCACTGTGAGGAATACTTTTTCCAGCAATTTCAAGGTTATCTACTAGTTGCTTAATTGTGTTGAGGTATTGATCAATATTCATTGACCCTTTCCTTATCCTTTGAAGCTCACTAATAAGGAAAGTTACTCTTGATTTGTTCATTACTCCAAAGCTTTCCTGGACAACATTCCAAAGGCTGTAAGAGTTTGAAGATCCCATCACTCTCATGGGAATTTTAGGTGTCATTGAAGAGTAGAGCCAACCTATCAGTAGTTGATCAGCAAACATCCATTTTCCATATTTAGCATTTGGAGTCATTTCGACAGTAATGCTAGCAGAGCCAGTTGTTTGTGTTGCCAGAAATTCTGCTAGACAGGTTTTTGTTCCAGTGATGAAACCTTCAAGGTTACGACTCTTAATGATGGGCATAACCATGTTCTTCCACAACAAAAAAATGTTTATGTCAAGCTTCACTGGTGGAACTTGAGTGAGGCTTATGCCAAATGAAGTCATCTTATTTCCTCTCAACAATGAAGGCATCAGTGTACTTTAGACTGACCGAGCTGATTGTGCATTATCATTGGAAACGATGCTAGCCATTGTAGGCTTTGATACCAAATTAAAGTTGATGAAATAGCAAAAATTGAAAGACACAGAGCACTTAAGTAATTGGGAAGACTATTTTCATTCAATTGAATTAATTTACAATGAACAAGATACAATATATGTATATATACACACACACACAATAATAAACACACACACACACACTTTGAAGTGGTGAGCAAGTAAAATAAATACATTATACACGTGAGAATCAATTCAGTTATAACTACTCAATTGTGGTCCCAAAGGTGCACAATAGCAGCTCATAGCTTCCATCCGTACTCAGCCAGTTCACATGCAGATTCAAGATGATATAACAGGTGCATACTTCAACAACCAAGATTTGATTTCTCATATTCTTAGTGGGATGGCACTAAACTTTAATCCTTTAGCGACTTCCTTTAATTTCGCGTCTCGCAAGCAAGACTTTTTCTTTGATGA